AACAAATCACACCAGAAGTGATGCAGAGCCATTGACGGCCAAAGTCAAACTTGGCATTCCGCCAGTTGCTATTGCATTGCATTGTGCCTTTCAAGTCAATCGCAGATCAAAAATGATTGGCGGTAGATGATTACTATCTCTCTCTGCTCTTAAAGAAAGCTCAACAAACAGAATGATCTAGAAGATGCTAAGCTAGGGAGAAGCTCCTTGAAGATGGCCTCCAGCACAAATCTGAAAGTTCAGAAGATTAAAAACCTCACATCCCGATGACCGACCCAGATTGGATCCTGCAATATTATTCTGGGACACGTTATATTCGCCTTCGTTCGTAGAAGATATTGTATAATCCAGAATAAGCAAAGTCCTAGGAGCATCCTACAGACCTCCGTTTGCGGAAGACAAGAAGCAATTAACCTGACATTCGTTCCTCGGTGTTGCAACTTCCAGAAAGACTGACCTTCAAGTTTGGAATTACAGGAGTCAAAAATCTGACACATCTGGAAGGCACCAGATTGAAGGTGGCTAAGATACCGTAACAAGGATGTCTCAAGCTTACTTGCTCCTTCAAAATAACGTGAATTATATAATTCCCCTGTATAATTGAAAACATGACCAGGTGAGCTAATGCTACTTTATTGCAAGGCTACATCAACAGAATTTTGCCAAGTCTGAAAATAGTGATTTTTTTTTTTCAAGAGGCAACTGAACTTTCTGGTTTATCTTTGAAGACGTTTCGCTTCTCATCCAAGAAGTTTCTTCAGCTCTGACTGGATGGTGGGGAAGGGAAGGATTTATACTCCTTGCAGACAGCTGGTCATTTGCATTCTTTTTTAGAGAGTCGTTGAGGCCACTTGGAGGTGTATCTGTGTCCTCAGTGGTCACCTGAGTGGTGCAAATGGGCGTGGAGCAGGGGTGTGTTCTAATTTTTTTTACTACCGGTTCTGTGGGCGTGGCTTATTTTGTGGGTGTGGCTTGGAGGTCGTGTGACTAGGTGGGCATGGCTAGCTGGTCAGTCGTTTCTGGAAGGTCCTCGCACTTATGACCAGTCCTCGCACTTACGACCCGACTCGTTTGTTTGCTTTTAACACTGATCAGCTGTAGGACGGCCCTTTGAAGCCCCGCGGCAAGAGTTTAAACAGTTTTTTTCCCTCTAGTCATCAGCTGGGACTCAGGAGGCAGCAATAGATTGGGGGTGGGACCAAATAAAAGGTAAGAATAACATGGGGGGGTGTGGGGGGTAGGAGAACCGGTTCGGTGACGTCATATCGTCACTGCTACCGGCTCGGCCGAACCGGACCGAACCAGGAGGAACCCACCACTAGCGTGGATCCTTCTTGGACCTGCTGAAAGGACTGTGTTGTAGACCAGAGATAGATGATGTCGTATCTCTCCACCCTCTGTGGGGAGAGGGCTGTTCAATTTTGACACAGATGGCCCCTTGACCCCTCTTTCAAACCAGCGGTCCTCTCTATCCAAAATGTGGACTTTGCTAGTCTCCAAAAAAGTGGCCTTTGTCTTTTAAATGCAGATGGGACTGTTGAATCCTGGTCTCTTGAAAAAGCATCTTTTGGACAACCGTGACCTGAATGACTAAGAATCTCCATAGACAAGTCAATCTGCAAGTACAAATCGCCCACCGTCTCCTTTACAGCCTGAGAAACTAGGGAGGGTCTTTTCTGAGTCTTTTTCTCTGCCCATTATGAAGCTGCAGGCTATGCCATCTGCAGGAGTCGACTCGACCGGGGCTCGCGGCGGCCTAGGCCGGCCCGGGAGTCAACTGGACCAGAGCTTGCTTGTAGGCTCACTCACCCAGGGAGATCAGGGCCATGGCAGAAGGCAGGCAGCAATGGCAGGCGAAGGCAGGCAGCAATGGCGGGCGAGCGGGCGAGATGAGGAGTGACTGAGTGGGGCGGGGCGAGTGGGTGGGCGGGGCAAGCCAGAATTTTTACAAACGGTTCGCCCGAACCGGCCTGAACCGGCTGAATCCCACCATTGCATCTCTTATCTGACTATTCCCTAATCAGCATCTCTTTGCCTGTCTCCCAAGGTCTTTCTCACATACCATTACAATAGTTTTATCCAAAACAAACACGAGAGCATTGCAACGTAAGACAAAGAGAAGATTTCAGGCCACTCATTCAGCTTGAAGTCCTCTGCCACGCCAAAAATCTTATCAATCGGGCTGTATAAACTGGAGCTTATTTTTTTTTTGTCAGGATGGTATCATAAACTGGCTTATTTAACAGACACAACCATGTCGTGGGTGGTGACATCATTGCCCTGATTAAATCTCAGCCTCATCTGCTAAGCCTAGGCCAGCTATGTGGACTTCAAGTCCCAGAATTCCCCAGTCAGCCTGCTGGCTGGGGAATTCTGGGAGTTGAAGTCCAAATAGCTTATATATTGACAAGGTTGAGAAGCAGTGGCCTAGACCAAAAATCACTGGTGGGCTTTTGGCTCCCTTGCCGATGAATGTCATGGGCTGCAGTTGGATTGTTAATTCATGCATTAAATACACACTCTTTAAATTTTCCTTCTAAATTCCTTATACTGCCCTGCAAACAAGAAACCAATGCATACGTGATAGGGGGAGGAAGAATGGCAGGGATTGACCTATGATTGATTACGTCAGTCCTTCAAGGAATTTTGACCTCTTTTTAATCATCCATTACTTATCATACTGGCCATTGTCAACTCTATAAAAAAACTGCGAGTAGGGATTCCTCCATGCACCATCACCCAGGAGAGAGTAACTTCTTGCAAGCTAGGAGTGCTTGCTTTCAAAGAATTTTCATTTTATTGGCTTATTTATCCAGAACTGATTAATTCACAGGATTTTTTTTTTTTTTTTAGGATTAACAGAGAAGGATTACTGAAATGGCATGCCAGCTGTGATCCCGATTTCCCCTAGTTAAAGAACAATAGACTTCTTCGGCTTTTAAAATCTTCTACGTTTTTATTCTGCTGCAGTAGACTGACGTAATTCAGTATCTCTGTTTCTTGCTATAAATGTGTTTTTTTTAAAAAAAAAAAAAACACACTCAACTGTAAGTTATATTAAAGATTAAGTAGATCCCACCCGTTAAATGTGGGACTCTTTTGTACCCAAATCCTTTGAAATTATTAAATCGGTTTCCAGAATCACTCTCCCCATATCTACTACTTAAGCTCCCAGGAATGTCCCCCCTCCCATCTCATCTCCTAGGGGATATTATCTTCAGGGAAAATAAGTAGGTGAGAAGTCAAGCGTCCTCTTGCCAGCTGCCCTCTCTTCTCCTTCTTATGTCAGCACTAGAGTAAATGCAGGTTGAAGTGCTGACATCTGGAAGGTCTGTGCAGCAATAGCTGTGTTATCCATGAAAATATTAGCGATATCCTTAGCTACTTCCAAGGTATCCTTGAAAGTCTACTGACTGTTGGAAGTTGCGGAATTAGTTATTTATTGAATTTCACATCATGAGTCATTATCAGGCATACTTTGCAGTCAACAGAAATAAAAGCAACCCACGGGGTTGTTTCCTGTTTCAAGAAAAATGGATTGAAAACTGCAGCCTGAGATCAAGTCAATCTAAGCAAGTGGAAGAGAGAAATGGACCTTCCTGCCCACATGTTTATGATAAGCCTAGTTCAGGGGTCTGCAACCTTAAATACTCAAAGAGCCATTTGGACCCGTTTCCCACAAAAAAGAAAACACCGGGAGCCACAAAACCTGGGTGGGCGTGGCCAACTCAATGTCACTCACTTCCACCAGTCATATGACCCTCCTAGCCACGCCTACCCAGCCGGTCATTAGGGTAGAGAACCAGTTGTTAAAAAACACCGGGAACCACAAAAATCTTTTGACATCTCTCTCTCTCTCCCCTCCCCTCTCTCCCTGTATCTCTCTATGTCTCTCTCTCTCTACCCCTCTCTCTGTGTCTCTGCCCTGGCCGCTTCTCCATCCCCCGCCGTAACCCTTACCTTCTCAAGCCAGGCAAGGAGTGACTGGGAGGGGAGGGCCAGCCAGTGGTGAGATCACCTGACAGGGAGCCACAGCAGAGGGTCCAAAGAGCCGCATGCAGCTCCGGAGCCACAGGTTGCTGACCCCTGCCCTAGTTAGAAGAGATACTGAGGACACGTCTCCTCCTTCTCTCTCCGTTTACTCCCTACGTGAGCTTCTCCAGGTTTTGAAACTGTCCAGCAAGGAGGAAAATGGGGCTACGTTCAAGCATCAGCAGCCATTGATAAATACAGACCAAAAAGTGAGAAATAATCCGCCAGGCAAAAACAAACCAAAGAGCCACAAATCTAGCAAAGATTAACCAAGCCAGAAGAGAATTCCAGAGAGCATCCATCTCACTCTGGAAGGCGCTGAAAGGATGGGGGGGAAAGCGTTTTTGGAAAAAGTAGAGCAGTGTTCCTCCACCTTGGCCACCTGAAGATGCGTGGACTTCAACTCCCAGAATTCCCCATGGCTGGGGAATTCTGGGAGTTGAAGTCCACACATCTTCAAGTAGCCAAGGTTGACAAATATTGTGTTAACGCCAAGGAGGCGCAATGCATGCAGAGGTCATCCTTTGCTGCCACCTACTGGTTAGCACCTGAACAACTCTTCTTCCTTCTACCGTAAGAATTCTTCTCACCTTTCAGGATTTATGCACCCTGTTTCAGCAAATTTTCAAGGCGTCCCAAAAACAGAAGCTTATTCTCAGGTTCCCCCCATAGGATTACATCATTGCCCAAATGGGGCATGAATGTCACAACCTAATTCCCGCAACTCGTGCCATTTCTATCGTTGACAAATGTCCCTTGTCCCCTGCAGGGATCCATAATGATGAGATGTAAAGCAGGAAGCAGTCATTCCAGACTGGGTCAAGATTAACCTAGATATATGTAGTAACTGCGGACTTTAGTGTTCTCACATTCTTGGCTTTCCGTCTTAACAGCGGTTGTGTCATCCTAAAAAGGATAAGCCTATCTAGACACCCGAGGGTGCACACTGAGAGCCAGTTTGATGCCGCTATCCTCCAAATATTTTATTTAACAACCAAAATCAAACTCAAATGAAAGCAGCCTTGCTTCAAAAAAATAGACTGGACAAGCATTTGACCGAGATGATATAAAGTCTCCTGCCTTCAGCAGGGGGTTGGACTAGAAGACCTCTGAGGTCCCTTGGAGCCCTGTGATTCTATGTTCTCTTGAGATTTTGCTGTCTTTTTTTTTTTCTAATTCAAACACTTCCCTTTCAAATTATGGTCCTAAATCCTGATCTAAAGCTTCAACGCGGTTTTTCCTGTTTGTGACTAAGAATTTACGGACGTGCCGTTTGGACATGAACCGTTTTAAATCTCCACTGTTTTAACTGCTGTGTGTAATTATTATTAAGCTATCGTTCCTCGACACTTTTGATAGATATATTATTTCCTCTCCCAAGGCATTATTTGTTTTAAAACACCAGCGTAGTTTTTGCGTGCGATTCAAAAGCTCAGGAGCCGTAACGGCTTCTTATTCGAAACTGAATAAGACCCAACCAAGCTCTGACACAATGCCTGTGTAGTAGAGATGGCTAACCACGACTTGTAGCTATCTACCCAAGGGCGTGAGAAGAATTTCAACTTATCCAATTTTAGAAAGTCAAGGAAGATGAAACAACGGACATCTCAAGACTTCGAGTTACGCCTTCCGGGACTCTCTTGTTCAATGTAGGTCACAGGTACCACATCTGTTCCCCCACCCCCAAGGTAAACTATGATTAAGTACCCCCTACTTCTGGGTCCCAAGACATGACCTTCCAGTCTGCTGAAGAGGTGCTATACGCAGACCGGCGATTGACTCATATTCTTGACGTGATCTTCAGGTGGCTTCCCGTGGTTTCACTGTCTTGGGGTTGACCAGCCTAGATCACCGAAAGGTCCCTCACCTGTCGCTGATCTCGGCGGAGGGCCGCAAGGTGTGCAGAGGTCAGAATCTGTGTCTGACTCGCCTTCCGCAATGTAAGGTCTGATTTTGGCCACCGCGGTGTAGCAACCATTGTTAAGGATGTCCAAATTTTCTTTGGACTGGGAAATGCTAAAGCCGCTGAAGGAACGTTCCAGTTCCTCGTGGTCTACGGATGGGATGGAAATAGAAGTGTCACTATCTCTCATGGCACTTTCGGGGTGTTTAGCAGTGAGGTCTTCGTTCTTGGCGTACTCGGAATTGGCTCGGTTGCCGCCGTTGTAGGCCGACAGGGAACGCTCGTGGGAAGGCGGCGGCGGGATTCTCACCAAGGAACCGGGATCGCCAACGGGGGACAACCCGTGGCTTGGACGGGGATAGTGTTGCCAAGAGGTGGAGGGTGGACATGAGTTGTTTGGCATCGTTGTGGCTGGTGGGGCAGAGTAATTCTTCTGCCCCATGGAACTGGTCGAGCGGATGATCTTGATAATGCAGCCGTTCTTATCGATGTGTTCCCGGCTATCCTCTGGACTGTGATAAGGAGGTGCTGGCTCAGGCTCTTTGGAACCAAAATAGGCCTCCGTTTCGGTAGGAGGGATGCCCATCCGTTGCATGTAGATGTTGACCAGGAAGTCCAACTTCTTCTCCATGGAGAGAACCTGGGAAATGCCCCCACAGACACGATTAGCCAAATTATTTTAGATCTAAGAGACCTTGATCCAAAGGTCCACAAAGAATCTTGAGGATAGTGGCAAGTTCCCTAAAGGTGAATAACTTCCAGAGTATTGATAAAAGAGAATATATGTGGCTCGGGGTTGAAATGAGGGGTCCTTGGTGCTCTCTAAGCTGAGTGGTTTCTTGCAACGTTTCATTACCCAAACTAGGTAACATCATCAGTGTTAAAAGGGAAGGGTGTCTGTTGAGAGGAGGAGTAACAGAGAAGGAGGAGCAGGAGTAGGACAATTGTGGGGTCCTTGGTGCTCTCTGAGCTTCGTTGTTTTCTTGCAGATGTTTCATTACCAAATTAGGTAACATCATCAGTGCTAGCAGGGAGTGGGGTTTGCAGGGAGGAGGAGGAGGAAAAGGAAGAGGAGGACTGCGGAACCCTTAGTGTTCTCTGAGCTCAGTTGTTTTCTTGTAAACATTTCATTACCCAATTATGTGATATTATCAATGCTAGAAGGGAGTGGGGTATGCTTCCTGTTTAAATACAAATAGTTTGCCCTGACATGCTGGCTGAGGAATTCTGGGAGTTGAAATCCACACATCTTCAAGTTGCGAAATTTGATAAATGCTAACTAAGAGTCTACTGCCTTCCATGAATCAACCAGCTTGAATCTTAGTTTTGCCTGAGAGTTTGAGTCCTTAACCTTTTCACAGAACTACAATGCCCTGATTAGGACAAGTCACTTGTATATAAACAGAGAGCAAGCCTTGCTTCCTTCTAGCACTGATGATGTTACCTTGTTGGGTGATGAAACATCTGCAAGAAAACAACCAAGCTCAGAGGACACCAAGAACCCCTCAACTGCCAGAGTGACATAACAAACTTCCAATTTCTTGGGGAAATATCCAAATTGAGGGAACGTTATAAACTCTTCCATGTTTTTTTTTCCCCCAGTAACTCTTAGCATGAATTGGTTTAAAAGCAATATTAGCTCTAATGCACATTAGAGCTGGTTTGCATCTAGTCAACGTTGGCTTTCCAGCAAAAACTGCCTCATCGAAAGCAATGGATTGGCTTCATAACCACCGTTTTCACTTAAAAGACTGCTGTAGAAAAAATTGTAAGATCAGGTCCGATCATATGGTGATCTGTTTTACAGCCGTCACAACTTACAACCATAATTGCGGGGCTCAATTACGGTTGTAATTCGAGGACTACCTGTATACCCAGACTGTTGTGGCCCGTCAGCGGCCTGTGCAGCTAGTAGCTGATTCCGACAGCAAGGAGGTTGGTGTGGTGTTGCGCCAGTAGCTTGTGGAGCTGGCACTCGAGTTGGATAATGAGGAGGCTGGAGAAGATGTGGTGCCAGAGGCAGGGATTCAGCCAGGGCCTTCAGAACCTCCAGAAGCTCCCATAAGTGAAGAGGACGAAGAGGAGGAGCCTCTTCTCGATGCACGGGTGTGCAGAGCGGCCAAAAGGCAGGAGTGGCTCCTCAGGAGGAGGTCTCCTCGAGAGAAAGGCTTGGGGTTATTTGGCCACTCCCTTAGCCTATTTAAGGAAGGGCGATGACTGAGGCAATTTGCAGGGAACAACTTTAGTTCACTCTCCTTCGCGTCTGGATTCTCTGCAAATTGCTTCTGGGCTTTCTGCCAACCTTGGTAAGATTGTAATTACTTTATCTTTGGTTTCTTGTAGGCTGTTAAGAAAGTTTATTAACAGCCTTTGTTTTGAAAAAGAGTGAGTTATTTTAGTAAATTAAGTTTTGTACAAACTTTGTGTGTGCTGTGTTCTTTGGGGTCCGTAGCTGGGGCAGAACACAAACAGATAATCCACCTAGTAACCTGAAGGCAGTGGTGGGATTCAAATAATTTAACAACAGTCTCGCCCAGGGTCAGGTTGGCTGTCGTGGGAGGTGTGGGCCATCCCCTTCCTCCAGGTCTGTGCACATGCGAGACAAGCCTCCCGCGACGGCCAACCTGACCCTGAGTGAACCAGTTGTTAAATTTCCACCCTTTGCCAAAAGGCTGTTTCCAAGGGTGCTTGTCTGCACGTTGGTCTCATGGCAGTTTCAGACTTCTGGATGCGGCTCTTTTAAGAGGCGAGGTTTCTGAGGAACAAGGAGGAGGGGTTACCATAGAGACGTTGATACTCCCAAGAGCTCATGTGGGAAGGTGAAGAATTGGGGGTAAGTGTAGGGAGGGATTCACCCCCTCCCCATGGAGCTGCATGCAGGGGGTGTTAGTCAGCCTGCGAGCAAAAGTGAGAGGGGTGAGGAATTACCGTAATTTTCGGAGTATGGCCCTAAAAGAGGGTGGAAATGTTGGTGGGTCTTATACACCGAATACATTTTTGGCCTCCTGAAGCCCCACCCTGCATATCCTGTTTTTGCAAAAAAACAGGCCCGTTATTTGTAAAAACAGGGCATGCAGAATTTAAGTTTAATTTAATTTAATTAATTCAATTTATATGTCGCCCCTCTCCAAAAACTCAGAGGCTTTGGGAGGCCTGCAGAGTGTTCCTGTGGGCTGGGGAGGGCAAAAACACCCTTGTATTTGGGAAAAGTGGCTCCGTTTTTAGCTTCACAAACCACCCACACATTGCGTTTTTGCCTTCCCCAACCGCCAGGAGAACTCTGCAGGCCTTCCAAACCCTCTGCGTGCCCCATTTTTCACAAAAACAGTACGCGCAGAGGCTTTGGGAGGCCTACGGAGTGCTCGTGGGGGGCCGGGAGGGCAAAACCCTTTTTTTTCTTGCTTACCTCTTCGAAATCTTGGTGTGTCTTATACACCGGTGCATCTTATAAGCCGAAAAATATGGTAAGTATTTTGAAGTTGGGCCCAATGTAGGGGAGACTGCGAGGTTAGTTTGGCCAGGCAAATTATTACACATACACACACCCATCAAATCGGATCCTGGGGGTTACGCTGCAATGGAGAAACGGGAAATGGAGTGGCTGGCATGAGGGAAGGAGGAGGAGCAAGGAGAAGAAAGAGGGAAAGTGGCCTTCTCCTTCCCTTGTGCCGGCCACTGCGTTGCCTGTTTCTCTATTGCAGCACAGCGCCCAGGATCCACTTTGATAGGTTGGGAAATTTAACAACCGATTCATGTGAACCAGTGTGAACCAGCTGAAACACACTGCCTGAAGGCGACGGTGAAGAAGGGAGAAAGGAGAAAAGAGAGAGTCCCCATTTCAATATATTTCAACCATTACATTGTAGAAATGGGTTTTTTTTATTTGTTTGTTTATTAAAATTTACATGGCCCCCAGCTCATTCTCAGTGACTCTAGGTAAAGGTAAAGGTTCCCTTTGCACATATGTGCTAGTCGTTCCCGACTCTAGGGGGCGGTGCTCATCTTCGTTTCAAAGCCAAAGAGTCAGCGCTGTCCAAAGACGTCTCTGTGGTCATGTGGCTGGCATGACTAAAGGCCAAAGGCGCATGGAACACTGTTACCTTCCCACCAAAGGTGGTCCCTATTTTTCTACTTGCATTTTTCACCTGCTTTCGAAGTGCTAGGTTGGCAGAAGCTGAGACAAGTAACAGGAGCTCACCCCATTATGCGGCACGAGGGATTCAAACCGCTGAACTGCCGACCTTTCGATCGACAAGCTCAGCGTCTTAGCCACTGAGCCACATCGTCCCTCTCAGTGACTCTAGGCAGCTTATAAAGATTAAAAATCCAATATAAAAAGAATTTAAAAAGCAATAACCCCCCATTTCCCTGTGACAAATGAGCCATTTGATGAGCTCCATCCTACTCTGGTGTCCCCAGACTCATTGGCAAAACCACTTCCAAATTTAGGGCCTTGCAAACAAGTGTCAAAGTAGAGGCCAATCTTAGTTCCACAAGGATAATAAGAGAGGGAGCCATCACAGAGAAGGCCCTTCTTCTTGGTCCCACTAGATGGACCTCCTTAGAAGAAGTCAAGATTGAATCTCTTTGCTTCTTTCAAACCTTAATGCTATTCAACTTGCCACTGAACTGTGGGGAGGGAAGGGGAAACAGAATGTTGAGAATGTGTGCATGGATCGTGAGAGCCTGGCAGCCATCAAGGTCACCAGTGCAAGTGCCCGAGAAGGAGGCGGACTGTTCCCATAACAAAAAGACGTCTCATAATTGGACAATGTTATCACCCAGGGGTAGGAAGAAAGGGAAACTTTTATTTAACTAGATAAACTAGCATTCGCATGGGAAAACCAGAGCTGGTTTTGATTCTTCAGTACCAAAATGGTGTATCAAATAAAGTTTTACTTTTGGGAATTCAAAGCTCCCAAGAAAGTTTAGTTGTTTTGGGCACGCTAGTTGGTAGGGGACATGTTAACATCCTCTGCCTCCCTGTTCTGGTGGGTCAAACAGATATTCCTGGAAAAGACGGTCCTTCAAATAACCATGGCCTTAAGCCATGTAGGACTTTCAAGGTGACAACCAGCACCTTGATTTAGACCTAAAAGCAAATCAGCTGCCAATGAAGCTCCCGCAGAAGAGAGGATATGCAATGTAGGAATCATACCTGTTTTTCTACTTTGCCAAGTCTGCCCATCATACTCGGATCTTCTGGCATTTCTCCTTCGGCCGAGCCTTTGGTGCGGTCTTTGTCTGTCAGTGATGGTCCACGCCCCACGATCTGGTCAACTCTGTGGAGAGCATAGGTCCCACCCAGGAAAAACCAAACAAAATCAAATGAGCAAGTTATAGTCGAAGAGACCAGCTCTCCGTTCTTATCTTCTGGATGGTTAAAACATGTATTCCACACCAGCCTTTTATTGTCTAATCATTAGGCAAGTACAGGTAGTTCTCGACTTATGGCCATAAGGTAAAGGTAAAGGTAAAGGTTCCCCTCACACATATGTGCTAGTCGTTTCCGACTCTAGGGGGCGGTGCTCATCTCCGTTTCAAAGCCGAAGAGCCAGCGCTGTCGGAAGACGTCTCTGTGGTCATGTGGCCGGCATGACTCAACGCCAAAGGCGCACGGAACGCTGTTCCCTTCCCACCAAAGGTGGTCCCTATTTTTCTACTGGCACTTTTTACGTGATTTCGAACGGCTAGGTTGGCAGAAGCTGGGACAAGTAACGGGAACTCACCCCATTACGTGGCACTTTATTTTATTTATTTATTTATTTATTATCAGATTTATTTATCTGGGGTACTAGGGATTCGAACCGCTGAACTGCCGACCTTTTGATCGACAAGCTCAGCATCTTAGCCACTGAGCCACCATGTCCCTATATATAGCCATAGTGGGGCCCCAAATTTCCATTGCTAAACAAGGCAATTGTCAAGAGAGTTGTGCCCCATTTTATGACCTTTTTTGCCACTGCTGTTAAGTGAATCTGGCTTCCACCATTGACTTTGTTTATCGGAAGCCAGCTGGGAAGGTCGCAAATGGTGATCAGAAGACCCTGGGACACTGCAATTGTCGTAAATACATTCCAGTTGTCGAGTGCCCGAATTGTGATCATGTGACCATAAGGATGCTGCAAAGGTCATAAGTGTTAAAATCGGGCATAATTCACTTTTTTTTTTGGTGCCGTTGTAACTTCGAACGGTCACTAAATGAATGGTTGTAAGTTGAGGGCTACCTGTATTCCACCAGCTTTTCTTGTCGAATGGTTTAACAGAAATAGCATCAGGGAAGTAAGTAGTTACTCAGATGCAAAGTAATACATCCCTTTATTTCTGCTTGCATTTCATAGTTCAAAACACTCTTGTTTCCCTTTCTAGAGCTTAAATCTGGCACAATATGCTTAGTAAATATGCCCCTTTGCAATCAAATCTGCATTGTGTTTCCAAATCTTCTTTAGTTTTGGTCTCTATTTATTTAACTTAGATGGTATGGCTCATTTTAAGTGTTAGAAGTAACCGAGAACATGGCTAGTATCAATTGGGTGTCACCGCTCCAAAATAAGTAACACACAAACTTAAAAAAGATAAATTTGGAAGTTCAGATAAGTTCAAATACTCTTTACTTGATATTGCTGGTAAGGAGAGTTAGTAATTCTGGATCAACATTGTTGGTTTCCAATATCCGAATCTCACACTGAATTCTTCTAGGTCAGGGGTGTCAAACTCAAGGCCTGAGGGCCGTATTGACCCCGTGGTGTGTTTAGATCTGGCCCGCGGAGCCACCCTGGAAACAGCGAAGGACTAGCCTGCGGTGCCTCTGCCGGTGAAAACGGAGCTTGGAAGGGCTACCGTTTTTGCTGGCAGAGGGCTGCAGGAGGCCGTCGCAGCTGAAAACGGAGCTTGCAAGGACCGCAGGCGTCACTCCCAAGCTCTGTTTTCGCTGGCAGATGGTTGCAGGAGGTCATCGCAGCCGAAAACAGAACTTGGGAGCCTGGTTTCACTGGCAGTCCACTCAGACCACCACAGGCACCCCCGACATGAGTGATGTTGAGCTGGCCACGCCCACCCTGGCCCCCCAAGGTTAAACACAACCCTGATGCGGCCCTCAATGAAATCGAGTTTGACAGCCCTGTTCTAGGTTGTAGGGAAAAAATGATTTTCAAAATGGTGGTATATACCAGGGGTCTCCAATCTTAGCAACTTTAAGACCTGTGGACTTCAACTCCCAGAATTCCTCAGCCAGCAAAACAAAGCTGGCTGAGGAATTCTGGGAGTTGAAGTCCACAGGTCTTAAAGTTGCCAAGGTTAGAGACCCCTAGTATATACAGTACCTGGAATATTTCTCAGAACTATTTTGTTCCTCACTATCCTTTTTGCTTTTCCACATGGCCACATATCCTAAAAATTCATGGGTTTTTTATTCATTTGTATTATAGGGGGGGAAATCTAAACCTAACTTTTTGCACTATTATCAAAGACGGAAAAGAAAGGTTTTTTTACCCAATAAACTTACATATTCAACATATAATGCCCTTCAGCTAATACAGCTACATCAACGTCTTTCAAACATGGTAGCTTGAAGATGTGTGGACTTCGACTCCCAGAATTCCCCAGTCAGCCATACTGGCTGGGGAATTCTGGGAGTTGAAGTTCACACATCTTCAAGTTGCTAAATTTGATAAACGCTAACTAAGCGTCTACTGTCTTCCGTGAATAAACAAGCTTGATTCTTTCATTTTGCCTGAGAGTTTATGGTTTGTGTCCTTAGCCTTTTCATGGAACTACAATTCATAAGTTCTATTTAATAACAAGGCTAAAAGGGGCAATTATAGAATCAGCATATCCTATCTCCAAAAATGAAAGGATGCAAGAAATGAGGAATAATGGTAAGCCATTAACATATAAACCGATTTCCCCAATTTTGGCCATAAACAATTAAAAATAATTGCTGTTACAAGTATCTAGTTCAGAAAATGAAATTCCTGAACACCACAAAGTGATTTTCGTAGGATATGCATCAATGCTCAGAAATAATATTGGTTTTAATGAAAAAGATGAAGAATTACATAGAGCTATCAACCCGTTTGGGAAATAAAATGCTTTCAAGGGCTTTGTTAGTGAAGAATTTAAGAAATGGTCAAGAAAGTGCTGAGCTTGTAAATTATCTGAAGGCGAAACTTTAAGTGGGAGTCCTCTATCATTTTCTTAAATATGATAAATAAAATAAAATTTCTTCTGAACTCTTTAGAGGTTATAGGAAGTTTCTACAAATATTTTTTTTATAAAAAAATTTATTTTCTTTTAATACAAACATTCCATCATTCATTAAACAGTGTATCATCTGGGTACAAATTTTTGGTGTCATAACAGTTAAAGCTTATCACCATATTCATTGTTTATATCTACTCTTATTTTAATACTAATACTTAATCCTTAACATATCTATTATAACATTTCTCTTCTTAACTTATTTAACTTTATTATACATTACTTTAATATTTATTCTCTAACCATTGATAAAATAAATCCCATATATTATAATAATGAGATTCTTCCTTTCCTTTAATTGCAAGTGTTAATCTATTCATTTCTGCACATTCGGACGTTTCTACAAATATGAATCAGTAAAAATTAGCAGCCGTGTCCTTTTTCTTACAGAGCTATATATAGCTTCTGCAAGATTTAGCAGAATTTTAAAACATGGGCTTTGACTTACTGGACATAATCAATTTTATTCTTGGAAGCTTTTCCTAAGATGGTCATCTAATTTTTATATGGCTCATATGGCAATCACCTTACCTGCTCTCATATGACCTTTAAAACCTGTGGGTTTTTTCCTGGAAGCCTCTTTAAATCGAGAAAGGAGAGGGAGAGGATGGAAGATGGTTTATGGTTTCCTTGGGAAATTATTGTTTTATGCACGGTGCTTGCTTTTATTTAGAGTTCTTTTAAAAGCAAACTGGAGAAGACACTACGAGTTATTTTCAGGTTGGGTGCAGGGATTCGGGAGAACCTCTAGTTACGATTCTGTGCAGTTCGGAGAACTCCCAAATCCCACTCCTGGCTGCCCCTGTCCACCCTGCCCCACCCCTCCCAGGAGTCCCCATGTGACCTGTTTTGGATACAGGGTGCACGCGGAGGCTCAAGGAGGGCAAAAAACGGGCCTACCAGAAGTTTGGGAAGGCTGGAAATGGGCCCGTTTCTGGCCTCCAGAGGGCCTCTGAAGCCTGGGGAAGCTGTTTTCGCCCTCCCGGAGGCTCAAGGAAAGCCTCCGGAGCCAGGGGAGGGCAAAAACACTCCCCCCCCCATGGTGCAGGAGGCTTACTAGGCCATGCCCACAATGGCCACGCCCATTCAGCAACCGGGCAGAGAATCCCTTGCTAAAATTTTTGAAGCCCACCCCAGTTGGGTGGTCTAAACATGTATTAAAAAAATATTCCCTCCCTTATTTAATAGAGGCGTCTGTCTTAACTTCGAAATCTTAATTAGCTCTGGTCAATTTTACTTTTGCATAATGTGCCAGAATTGTACAGGTAGACTTCTAAAACAACCCCAAATGACAATAACCAGGAATAACCACAAACCACAATAACCACAAACAAACCAGTATATTCATCGTTCAGTAATAAAAAAATGTGTTGGTCTGGAGCAGAATTTAAACAGTACTTCTTCCACAGCTCTGGAGCAAAGGCGACCGACCATTCCATGCACAAGGCGTGAATGAGTTATGAGTTTGAAGTCAGGCAAGGAAAGGGGGGAAACGGATTAATGAAATGAAACGTTTATGAACACCTCGAAAAACTAAAAGCAAGGGAAGGGCCAAGTCATCTGGCTATTTCAAGTCATATCAAATTGCCTTACTTTAGGCAGAAGGATGCTCAGAAGTGTGTCTGCAGAAAGAGCTTTGAAAGAGCTGTGTCCTCTCTTTGGCTCATTAAAGCAGCTGTGTATTGTTTATTTGCAATATCTGTCTACTCTGGCAAGCATTTGGTCCCCAGGCTCACACGTCTGCCTCATGAACAGCTTCCAGGAAGCGAAGTGGCTGTGCATATGACTGTCATGGGCTGTGCAAATCCTTCAGAAGAGCTGTGTCTTCTCTTTGACTCATTAAAGCAGTGGTGCATTATTTATTTGTTGGCAAAATCTGTATATTGTGGCACGCATTTGACCTCCAGGCTCACATGGCTGCTTCATTAAGAGCTTCTAGGAAGCTAGGTGGTTATACATGTCACTGTCAAGGGCTGTGCAAACCCTTTGAAAGAGCGGCATCCCCTCTTTGACTCATTAAAAC